GTTAGAATTGTGTCGATGTCCCAATATTTCTGGACCTGACTGTATATAGAGGCAAAAATTATTGACTTCACATGTGTTTAAATCTGTTAAACAATTAGATAAATCTATGTTAAACAATTAGATGAATCTATGGTAGATAAAGAAATCTTGGGTTATGGTGTATAATTCAATGAAAACTTAGAGTCTGAAGTCAATGACAGCAAAAAGGCTTCTTGTTAGAAATTATTTAATAAAAATAGCTACTACCAGAGTGCTTCTATATAAACATTTGAAAATATATATACTGTTTTGGTCATTTCATTACAAAATGAAGTTAGCATACATACATATAACAGCAATCAAAATTATAAATGCCAACTATGGGTACCCAGGAAGTGTGCCTTCTCTACAGTAGTGCCTGCCCTCTGGAATGAGGTTCCCCCTGAGATCCAGATGGCCCCACCCTGCTGGTGTTTCAGAGGGGCAGGGGTGGCTATCATCAACATGCATGCCAGACTATCAAACACCTCCTTGAGAGCAACCTACCCTCATACCTCCTCTACCTAAGTTCCAGGGTATCTGGGTATGGCTATTTCCAGAGATGAAAGAATCCTAGCTGGGCAGGTAGTTTTAATTCCACTACTTGTTCTTGAATGGAGAGGTGCCTCATACCTCTGGAATTTGGAGGAGGCAGAAAAGGAAATTCCTCTTTATCAGGAATAAGATTTTAAATGAATAGCACGAGTTTTCTCCTGTTTACCAAGTTATCAGACCCAAGTAGTTTTGTGGTGTGCAGTACTAGAATATAAACTCAACACTAGGATAATCAAGAAAAGAAAGGTTGCTATTTTAATAAAAGCAACAAAGCAAGGATTTGAAAGAATAGGTTAACTGCCATAAATTACATGAGGCAGAGCTTTGAAGATCAAAGCCTAGCACCCAGTATTCTGCAAAGAGTTTGAGCAGAGAAAAAGACAGAGAAAATCAGAGCAGATATAACGTTATAAAAAACTGAGTGAGCAGCACTGAAGAATCCATTGTATAACTAAAGAAATCTTTCTTGCCAGCTTATCTTACTAGTTTCAGTTCTCCCAGGCCTTTTGGACATTGGGCCTGAATTCTTTGGCCCAGTGTGTGCAATTTGTTTTCTTAAGGTACCTGGTTCTCTCACAGGCACCCAGCCAATACTTATTAGGAGAAAGAAACACTTAACTTCCTCTGCTCTTGAATCCACTGTTTCCTCCCCCCATCACTGGAAGAGACAGTGGCTGTGATTCAAGGACACTTAAAAGTCTCCCAGATAGCCATTAGGCCACTCATAATTAAGAATCCAGTTTCTTGATCATTGCTGTTCAAAATTTTTAAAAAATGATAAAGTGGTTGGAAAAAAAGAATTTCATTAGTTTAATCTTTTTCCTTTTCTCATAATACAGTTGGGATTACTGAATGAAATTAATTGCAGAAAGACATATAACAGAAGTACTTTCCTTTCATAATAAATAACTAACCTACATTATTCACTGTCATAAAATAGGACAATAGTCCTTAATTTAATTGGCTTTAAATAGGAATTACAGAAACATGCCAGTCAGGCATTTTATAACACTTTTACTACTTCAAGTTTTTTTTTTAAGTTCCTGTTATTTGCACTGGCTGTTTTGTTTATTGCTGTTTTGCCTTTTTTCTGGAGATCAACTAGAAATTATTAATAAATGCTAGCTATTACAATTAGTAAACAGTTGATTATCCAAAGACAGGGAGATGAAACATCTGTGAGTGGGAATACCCCAAATAATTATACCTTGAATTGTGCAGGAGGCTGGCAGAGAACTGGGTTTCCTGAGAATAGTATAACTAGCTCATACACTTTTAGGAAAATGCCTGAAAATATGCAGTATCTGTGGAAAACTCATAATCAAATGATGCCTGGATAGGATATCTACAGCTCAGATTTATGATACTTTATGTTCTCAGTATTACTCCATGTTCCTCCTTTTTTTCTCCAAATTCCCAACTTATGGAAAAGGAATGCACTGATGTAAGGAAGTTTGCACAACTCCTCTGCCAATCTGCCCTAATTCCCTGGAACCTAAAGTTGCAATATCTCCAGCTCACCTCCATGGCAGCATTGACAGCTGTATCAGATCCTAGGCTGAAATCAGTGCCAGGAACATTGTTACTGATGGTAGCTGGTATCACACACATGATGATACAAAGTTCATCATACTGCCCACGGGCCTCCACCAACTGTAACACTCCTTCATATGCCTGCAAAAGGGAGAACAAATTGTAAGTATAAGCCACAACAGTGAACCTAAGCACTGGAGTGCAAGGACTGTAGGGGAAAGACAACTGACTTTGAATGAACCTGTTTTGAACTCTGGGCTTGTACTATGCAGAGGTAAATTTGATACTCTGCTAGGATTACAGTTGTAGTTGTACAAGTAGGATTACAGTATTACAACAAAAAGCATGATACAAAAAAAAAAAAAGAGAGAGAGATGCAGACTAGTATGAAGACTGTATAAAACATAAGAAGTTGCCTTATACCATCAAGACCACAGAATTATTTATCTCAATACTGCCTATATTGTGTACTGAGTGTACTGTCTTCTACTGTCTTCATCTAGTTATCAGGAAATCCACTGCTTGTTTTCTGTTGCCATTAATCACTCTGTTGGCAGGTATCTGGTGGTAGAACCCCATTGCCATTAGCAATCCACAAAAGGTCACTGGGAGGTAAAAGGAAGGCCCATTCCTTACCCTTTCTTCTAAGTAATCCTGCCCAGTATCTGCTGGAAGAAAAAGGGAGGAAAAAGTATGACTGATGTGTGTATAAGTGCATATGAGAAGTGGTGCATATGAAGTGTGAATGGGTATATTGGCAGCTGACTCAGCAATCTACATCTATCTACTGTCTATACCAGTGTTTCTCAACCTTGGCAACTTGAAGATCCACACATCTTCAAGCTGCCCAGGCTGAGAAACACTAGTCTATATTGACTGGCAGAATTCTAGCCTTTCCTGGAAACCAATGAGTGTAGCTCAGCTGCTGTGCATGAAAAAGTACATACTCTACCATACAGCTGTAGACAAAAGAGGGATTGTAGAATAATGTTCTCATCAATGTTCATTTAATTCCAGGCTTGCGTTTATCAATACACTGTACTAACACTGCAAACATGTCTGTTCAGAAAAGCCTTTCAGAAAAGTGGATGGGGTGGGGTGGAAAGAGACAGTCTTCATTTAATACTGAAATGGCTCAACTAGTTTCTCCACACCTCAAAGCCTCCAATGACCAGTAGGGCCTGGATGTTAAATTTCCGAACATTTTCAGCAATCTTTTCCATGCATGTCTTTGGAAGAGTTCTGGCAAAACAAGAACAAACACAAGTTTTAAACAAAGTTCTCTCCCAGTAGCTGTCTCTTTTATTTATAACCTTGTTTGATAGACGTATGACTGTTTCCACACCATGAGGAAAAAAGAGGTGTTTAATCTATGAGGGAAACAGAGCTTCTACTGGTTTACAAGCAGTCTCTAGATAATAGTACAGATCAAATATATCATATGCACCAATGGCTAGCCTTTGAAACATCATGTTCTCTGCTAAGGGAGTAGTGGTAGACTTTCACAAGATTGCATGTGCAAGCCACTTTGTCACAATGTACTCTGTATATTGTTTCCTATGGAATGAATGGCTGCATGACCCACAGTGGATACTGTAAGAGAAAATATGTTTAGGAAACCCACTTGCTCCTACTTCAGCTCAGATAGCAAGTGTAATGGATACTCCAGGTATAGTTACAAAGTTTGAAAGAAACTCAAATGTTCAAATAAACAAGAGCTTAAGGAAAGAGAAATGTAGCCAGCTAGTTCATACAAGAGAGTGACTAACTCTCATCCCTCTGTGCAGGATCATCAATCCACCCAGTGAGGACGGTTACTCCAGACATTTCTTATTACTGTTGCTTAAGATGGCATTGTACAAATTAAGCAAAGTCTGTATAGAAAGGGAGAAAAATATAACATGCACACTTCTTGTTGTATTTCTGCAATACAGGTAGTCCCCGAGTTAAGAACGCCTGGTTTACGGACGACCCATAGTTAAGAATGGAGCCTACTGTAGCAAAATTTGAGTTAAATACACAATGATTTGA